AAATACCACTTTCATATAGTTGAATAACAACTCTTCTATATAAAAAATACCACTTTCATATAGTTAAATAACAACTCCTCTATATAAAAAATACCACTTCATATAGTTAAATAACAACTCCTGTATATTAAAAATACCACTTCATATAGTTAAAAAACTACTCCTCTAAATTAAAAATACCACTTCATATAGTTAAATAACAACTCCTGTATATTAACAATTATCACTTTCATATAGTTTTATTGGTTGAATATCAATCGTGCTTGAAGTTAGATACAGTTGACTTTCGTCACGATGTCACTACTAATCGTTATCCATTAGGTAGAGGGCGTTACTTTGCTTTGCGGATCAGCAAACCTGGCTGGAACAGTGCAATGATATGCTATTAAATCATACAAGTTGTTTTAGATGAAATATCTTATGTAACAGCTGGAGTACCCGTCCCCTGAACAGAAGTTATGTAAATTCATGATTAATGAAAGGTTATGTTAGGACATGAAAAGTTGCTTCTCTTATATGTAATTGTAAGAAACAAAAAAAAAACGCCTAAAAAATCCGCAAAATCCAAAACTGAAATGAACATCCGTACCATATTCGATGAAAATACATTTACAGAAGGTGAGATAGTGGTAATATACGCAAAAATCGCAAAACACAAATTGCATGACTGAAAATTTGTATGTATCTCCCCATGGATCCAATGAACCTCCGTACCAATTTTGGTGAAGATCCATCCACACCCTACGAAGTATTTACATGGACATACAACAGACACTACTCGTTATATTTATATATATTAATGCCCTTTCAACATTTATAAAAAAAATTAACTGAAACGTTCACTACACTTACTACAATACTATTAACAAACGTATGGTAAGGAAACAGCTGTCACTTTAATTTATCAGTTGCTAATTGTTGTTGAAGAGAGTTTTTTTCACGATTTCTGAAAGATCTTCGAAACTCTGCCGCCTCGTGCACGTAAATATAAGCTGGTTGTTGAAGACAGACAAACAAAAAACGCTAGTCAACTTAATTCCTAATAAAATAGACCTTGCTTCAATCATATTTCTAGTATTTGGTACATTTAATTCTTTGATCATTTGGTACTAAGTACAGTAATGGAAAGAAGTTCAGTTAAACGGAACCATAAATCGGAACAATATTAGGGCTTTTCTTTGGGTGAATATTTTAACGAATAGAGCCACGTGAGAGGGGACCTTTCAATTAAAGGATCAACCACTGGGTTTATCTGAGAAACTACGACTCGAAACTATATCCCTCCATCACTTCCTTGGCTAATTATCAACTGATGTTTCTTGGATATACTTCTATTGTATTGGGATCAGAGTTTTAACTGGGATCAGGGTTTTAAAAGTTCTGTTGCGGAAAACTTACTTTTTGAACACGTAGTACGACAATTGAAGGAGAACGATACGTTTTCCATATACAAGTTTTGTCTTAAATTTCTTCAAACAAAAGGATTTTCGTGTTTCTCGTTTCGACCAGAATTAGATGGGTTAAGAGCTATAAGAACTGAAACTGTAACACCTTGGTGGACAAGTAAACGTTACAAGAACTGAAACTGTAACACCTTGGTGGGAAAGTAAACGTTACACGGACTGAAACAGTAAAACCTTGGTCGAAAAGTAATCGTTATAAGAACTGAAACTGTAACACCTTGGTGGACACGTAAACGTTGCAAGAACTGAAACTGTAACACCTTGGTGGACAAGTAAACGTTACAAGGACTGAAACAGTAACACCTTGGTGGACAAGTAAACGTTACAAGGACTGAAACAGTAACACCTTGGTGGAAAAGTAAACGTTATAAGAGCTGACTTATACCTTTTAGGTAAACAATTTGTTTACGACCTATTTTACATAATAATTCATATTTGTGATCGTTATATAGATTACAAATTTTGTATCTTCTGTCATAATTCTGTTGGTAACAAAATATTTACACGCTTAACTTGGTTTCTTAGAAAAATCGTATAATCAAACTGACTGACTATCAAAAACATATAGTCATAACTCTCTCGTTTTAATGTTTCATTTTCTTTATATAAGTTTGATATTTAGTTAAAGATCAATTCATTTAAGGCTTACATACATAAACCATAATGTCTGCAATGGAAATAATCCATAGAGTTGACCTGCAAAATTTAAGTATTATCTCGTTCGTCAAAGATTAACAAATTAATGGTAATAACTTGATTGTATTTAAAGGTTCTATTTCAGAAGTAAACGAACATTAACGTGTACATCTCTTCCCACAAAGTCTCGCCTATGATCTGGACAAAAAATGAAGTAGTCGGGGCAGCTGTAGGGACGAGTGTGACCCTGGAGTGTCATCTGGAGTCTTATCCTTCCTCCGTGACCTACTGGAAGAGGAACAGGAATAATATAATCATCTCAGATTCTAAGCATGATGTGATGCCAGTAGAGATTGACCTCTATAAAGTGGAGATGAGGTTAAGAATACGAGAGGTTGACCACGACGACTTCGGCTCTTATAGTTGTCATGCCAAGAATTCTCTGGGAGAGGTAGAAGCCTCCATTAAACTACACGGTAAGCTGACTGTAGATGAACACCACAGTAGATGTTACTGTAGATCAAATGTAACGACTGACAACACTGTAGGTGTTACTGTAGATCCAATGTAACGTCTGACAACACAGTAGGTGCTACTGTAGATCAAAACTAACATTTGATTCCACAGTAGGTGTTATTATGGATTAACACTAATATTTAACTTTACAGTAGATGTTACAGTAAATTAACACTAACATTTGACTTTAACACCTGAACAGTACACTAAGTGGTATTATAGATCAACACTAACATCTAAACAGCACACTAAATGTTATTATAGATCAACACTAACAATTAAACAGTACACTAAATATTATTATAGTTCAACACTAACAACTAAACAGTACACTAAATGTTATTATAGATCAACACTAACATCTAAACAGCACACTAAATGTTATTATAGATCAACACTAACATCTAAACAATACACTAAATGTTATTACAGGTCAACATTAACATTAAACAATACAAAAAATGTTGTTATAGATCAACACTAACATCTAAACAATACACTAAATGTTATTATAGATCAACACTAACAATTAAACAGTACACTAAATGTTGTTATAGATCAACACTAACATCTAAACAATACACTAAATGTTATTACAGGTCAACACTAACATCTAAACAGCACACTAAATGTTATTATAGATCAACACTAACAATTAAACAGTACACTAAATGTTATTACAGGTCAACACTAACATTAAACAATACACTAAATGTTATTATAAATCGACACTACCATCTCATATATATCATTTACGGTCATATTAATATCTCATATATATATCACAAATGGCCATATTAACATATCAGATATATTACATATGTGTTTAAGTTTCCATATACTTTATATATGATATTCCTATTTTAATTAATGTTAGTATATTACTTAATAGTAGTAATATTTCTACGGTAGTTTTTATAACTTCTTTTATTTAAATCTCTACTTTCTGACGTAGTTTATATGCTCTTATAGTCTTTCTTGCGCATCCTCTTAATGACTCTCGGCTTCCCCGTTAGGGAGCGCCCCAAAGTTTGGTCATGATATACTGTTGTTGGTAGGAGCGTGACATTCCTCATGTATTAAACTTACGAACATGTCTAAACATTACTGGATGACTATGTTATCTCTTGTTTACATCAACTACGTTACGTTCTCGTTATTTTCAAATAAATAGCCCGAATACATATTACGTTGTTTTAACTAAACTCCACGTCATTGTGTGTTAGAACAATATGAACATTTTTAAATGAGTTGTAAAATTACGAGTTTTTCCTATAGCACCTTTAGTTTCGAGTTACGAAGAAAACGGGTATCATTAAAGGAGGTTAAAAATCAATACTCGTAATTAATTTATCTTCTAACTAAAATGAAAAGTTTTCCGCTCCTTTACGATAAGGAGGAGCTAAGATAGCTCTAAAGAAAAAGAGTGCCTGATTTGGTGGTCTTCGTTTCTTAGTCTTTAACTCCTCGGTTTATGTCTAGTGTTTTTTTTTTTAAGTGTGTTAGTGTAAATTAGCTGAAACGTGTCAGGAAAATGATACAATACTTCACAAGGCTGTCTGTTAAAAATAGAAGTAGTAATAATATTTTGAAAGCGTTGACTCGTGTGAACTATGACCCACGTGAACTATAACCTAGTGAACTGTGATCCACAGTAACTGACGCTAATGTGAACGAAAATGTGGCCTCGTCTTTAAACGCTAAGATTTGTTAGTATCTCCTGAATTTTTATGGTTTGGTGAATTTCTACACAAAATTATATTTAACTGCAAGAATCCTAAGCCCAGGCATACTGCATAGATTGGTGTTTTTGTGCACGAGAAAGCCAACAATCGAACAGACATCCACTCGGTTAGAAAAGCATATATTACATTGTTGTCTGACCGTGGATAGCAGGGTATCGAATGAAGTTTAATTCCCTCTACAGGACCAGAAAAACACGAGATTAGGGCACGAGAGATTGAAATTAAAAGAGGCGTGTACATTCTATCGCTAAGTTACCGCTCTATGTCATTAAATAGTTTCTACTTCACTAAGCGGAAAACAAAACGTTACAGTAGTAATGGCGGATTTCAGAATAATTTGAAATCGACCGAGAGAAATTAATTCTGTTATTTTCTGAGTAGAACAGAGCGATTTGTAACGAACAGATTAAAAAAAAAAGCATAATCTTTGTCATAAAATAACCATGCGAATTCAACAGATTGGCACATCCTCGAGGAAATACTGTAAACTGGTGGAAGGTTTGGTTTTGGTTTATGGGATTGAACATCACATTATAACGAACCCTCGGCTGAAAGGGCAAGCATTCGGTGATGAAAATTCGAACCAGGGATCAGTAGAATGTGAATCGAGCGCCCTAACCACCAGACCATGCCACGCCCAAACTGGTTAATAGAATGTTTTGATTAAATTTTTTGTTGTTGATTAACACTGAAATGTAAGTGATGTTGGTTTTGGTTTCAGTTTTTCTTGTTGATAAGTATTGGTACATTCAACCTGAACGGCACCTTATGTGACATATGGGCTAAAAGATCAGGTTAGAGACCCCAAGTTTAGGCATAGCTATCCGTCTGTAATTTCAACCATTGACCTGAGGGTTAACTATCAGTCAGCAGCATTCGCCGCCTACACGACTACACATACAATTTTAGGGGGATTGGCTGTTACACAACTACACATAAAATTGTAGGGGATTAACTGTTACACGACTACACATGCAATTGTAGGGGGATTGACTGTTACACGACTACACATGCAATTGCAGGGTGATTGACTGTTACACGACTACACATACAATTTTAGGGTGATTGACTGTTACACGACTACACATACAATTGTAGAGGGATTGACTGTTACATGACCACACATACAATTTTAGGGTGATTGACTGTTACACGACTACACATACAATTGCAGGGGTTGACTGTTACACGATTACACATACAATTGTAGGGGATTGACTGTTACACGACTACACATACAATTGTAGGGGGATTGACTGTTACACGACTACACATACAATTGTAGGGGGATTGACTGTTACACGACTACACATACAATTGTAGGGGGATTGACTGTTAAACGACTACACTTACAATTGTAGGGGGATTGACTGTTACACGACTACACATACAATTGTAGGGGGTTGACTGTCATTTATATGACTTGCCCACAGCTAAAAGCGCAAAGCGTGTTTAGTGGCTTACAGTAAACTCGAGCCTTGGACCTTCCGATGCGCAGCCTGTCACGCTAACCATCCACATCAATAAGTCTTGCAGCGAAGTTACTGATTAACTTATTAGAAACATAAACACGGCTTACGTTGTTGTTTTTGTGTAGGAAATATTGTTTAACAAAAATATTTTACTCTAAAGCTTGACTTTAAATATGATAATATGATAATGTCCAGTTTCTAAAATCAAATTTTGTTTGTTTACAAAAGGCCTTCCGTCCCTACCACAACTTAAGTCACTCTCTATAGAAGGCTTTCCGTTGTTATCACAACTTAAGTCACTCTGTATAGAAGGCCTTCCGTCCCTACCACAACTTAAGTCACTCTCTATAGGAGGCCTTCTATTGTTACCACAACTTAAGTCACTCTGTATAGGAGGCCTTCCGTTCTTACCACAACTTAAATCACCCTGTACAAGAGGCCTTCCGTTCAGTACTAGAACTCATCAGCAAGTCTGAAACTTTAGTTTTGTTGTAACATTTTTTAAAGTCTGCTGTAAACTTCAACAAGAATCACTCCGCTAATTTAAAAACAAATTAGATGTGATACGATCGACCCAGGTGTCCATCCGTACCCTTATCTACAACACCAGGTGTCCATCCGTACCCTTATCTACAACACCAGGTGTCCATCCGTACCCTTGTCTACAACACCAGGTGTCCATCCGTACCGTTATCTACAACACCAGGTGTCCATCCATACCGTTATCTACAACACCAGGTGTCCATCCGTACCCTTATCTACAACACCAGGTGTCCATCCGTACCCTTATCTACAACATATTACTCGTTTCTTTCTAAATACCGAAATTAATAAGAAAATTTCTCTTAACTGATTTCATTCGATGAAATTTTCGTGCTTTATATTGTTGATGCTTTTCTTTTATTGGCTCCTGTGGTCTTATGCTAATTATAATATATCTAATCTAGCTCACGAAGATACTTAAAAAATGAGTGTTTTTCTACTTTACAAACCCTACCCAAACTACATCCCACATCTTATTGTTTCTGTATTGCTAATAAAAGACCCAATTTCCTGCAGTCACCAGACAAGACGACGGTGTCAGAAACATGTGTTCGCTCGTGCATGTTGGTTAGAAGTCTCGTGCCGCGAGCAGATGGGAAGAATGATCAATGGTACACAGAAAACGTACTGCTATTCCCCAAAGCTATTAAGACGTTAAGCCTTCCACAAATAATCAGCTTTTACCAATCACGATTGCGTATTATGCAGAACCGACAGATTAATGTCCAGTTTTGCTTGTAACATATCGTTGTTAATTTCCTTCATCAGCTCCTACGCTAGCACTCTTAATAAGCAGACTTCGAAACAACACGCTTCACATTACTTTACCAACAGTCCCGTTGCTGTACGACGTCAACAAGCATAAGAATGCAATGGCTAATGTCAGATATAAACGATGTGTCGTAATAAATTTGTGTTAATAAGTTTCAGTTAAAAACCACATATTTAGATAGTAATTCTTTACAAGCCACTGAAGTTCCTCCTAGAGGCTTTAAGTTATGGACAAACAAGACAGTGCATTTAAAACTGTACAAAATACGAACTTTAAGGAAGGTAATCTACCTATCTATCCGTGTAATGAAATATATGTTATAACAAGTGAATAGGGGGTGGCTCAGTGGTTAGCATGCCTGAACTGTGTATCTAAGTGTAGCCACAGAGTTGGCGGCGTGTGCTGTAGAAGCGGTACCGTATTCTGTT